CCGGCCGCCCTGGGAACAGCCTCCTCCAGGGCCTGGCTTCATCCTCTCTGCTCTGCCCTCCTGTTCTCAGGTGGCTTCCAGATCCACCCAAAGAACCTCATCGTGGGGCCCAAGTGGCTGCGAGGCTGGCGGGGGAACGAGCTGCAGAGGTGCATCCGCAAGAAGCAGGTGGTGGGAGATCGGATGTTTCTAGAGGACTACCACAAACTCAACAAGAGGATCCGGTACTTGTACAGGCGGTTCAATCGTACCGGGAAGCACCGCTAGGAGCAACCCTGGGTTCGGCACGTGGAGCGTGGTTTTGTGGCATCACGGTCAGAATAAAGCCAGCTTTCACACAGTTGGGTTCCCAGTGCTTTCTGCAACCTTTGCTGTGCATTTCTGGCCCAGACCCAAGGTCCTGCTGCTGCTCCAGGCCTGAGCTCCTCTGTGCCAGTTCTGCCCAATCATTTCTGACATACTTCTCACAGACATCTGTTCCAGCCTTCATCCCCGAACTTGGCCTGAGAGTCCTGTACTTTTTGGCCAGGCTTCTTGGTCAAAAGACCAGGAACCTTGGTCTCTGTGAGCCCCAGGTTCTCACGTCCTGCTTGACAATTTCAGTACACTCCATCTTAGGTTTTTCCTCATAGCCAAATTTTCAAGTTAGTGATAAGAGTGCCTGCCAATACCTCTTGCTGCTTGCCCCCTTGCCCTCCATTTATCTGTGATTACTCTTAAGCGTGAACGATCCAAATGTTAGTTGAAATGCATCAAAACCTGTCTTTGGAACAGGATTTATCTCTGTTTCACATTGATGATGACTTAACCCCATACTAACGACGCTTACTGACCAAGCGGCCTTTCGTTTATAATTTAGTCAGGCTTTGCAAAAGTAATTCAGTCACTTCACTGTTCTAAAAAACTCTAGCTTCTAGTTTTCCATGACTGTTATTGGTTCCTTTAGAGGAGAAGTTACGGTGAGTCAAAGCTGGCATCCCTCTAGTCCAGCATCACAAAGACCATTACATACTTCAGAAAATTCTGTACAATGAGCAGGCATCTGCCTATCTCTTCTCCCTTAGTTGTTAATTTGGCTGACTATGTATCCTCTTACAGAGCAATGCCACGCTGTCTTTAAAAGCACTTGGTTGGAAGCGGCAGGGAACGAAAAGAACTTTCTTTAGGCCTAAGCCTCAGAAAGGTGAAGCCAAAGTCTCCATTCAGGCAGCTGAAGTCCATGTTCTCAGGGGCAGGGTGGCAGACCTGCGGGCCTCTTGCTAAAAGGTGGTGTGGGTTCAGGGAACATGCACAGATTCAAGTGGAGACTGAGCACGCACCTGGAGGAGAACAGTTGGGGGTTATTACATACGTAAACCACAGGTGTAGCAAATCCTTGGCTGAAAGATGTCAGACACTGGAAGAGTGTCGGAGAAAAGCATCTTGTACCCTTTGTCAGCTCTTGGTCCCTAAGCACCAGCTTGGCAAGGGCCCCGTGGGCCACAAGCTCCATCTTCTGCTATTGCAATGGTATTGGATCAGTCCTCAAACTGCGGCGGGAAGGTCGCCAAGCTACGGAAGCTTCTTCCGAGACCTGTCCCCTCGCAGCTTGTCTGAAGGCACAGCTTAAAAACCTTCAGTTCCACTGATGCTAGTGCTAGGTTGCTCCTTAACCCCCAATAGTCCTGTCTGCAAACATCTGGCTCTAGTCACAACCCGTATTAAGTCTTCACCTTCCTTGTAGCCACGGCCTTTTGGCTCCCAGGCTGTAATTCGGAACGCCTCTATCTTGTGTATCTACTAATCTATCAGATCTGACACTAAAAACTCTTATTAATGGCCTGCATCACCTTATGAAAGGAAACTGAAGTTCAGCGTAGGTGTGAACCAGTCGCTTGCACCCTACTCACCACCCCGAATGGTGTACGGAGGGACTTCTTGCTCCAGCGCGTTCCTGTCTCCCTTTTTGTCCCGAATTGGAGTCCTTCCTTCTGATCCAGCAGGCTTCTCAAAATCTTTAGAGGGGAAAAAACCCAAACATGTAGCTGTTCTCGGGGCTGCTGCTGGAGCCTAATTTCCCCCAGCAGGCAGCGGAGGCTGGAACGCAGCCGCTTCAGGGACTCGTTCAGGTTCCCTTTTACGCCGTGCCGTGTGGTGGGAGCGGGCCAGCAGCGCCGTACCTTAACTGCAGGGACAGCACCTTAGCCAGAGCCAACAAACACGCTGCGGAGGTGGGAGTTATGGAGGCGCTCCGCAGCCC